GTGATAAAGAAATTATATAAGATTTTATTAGATGATATGATGATAGATGAAACGGTGAAAAAAAACATGATTGCATGGGCCCAGAATATTGGGCGTAATATTAACTTTGATGAGTGGGAGCAGATTTGGTTGAAAAACATTAAATTGACTAATGCTGTATCATATAAAGAGAATATGTATAAGATGTTTTATAGATGGTATATTACACCAGATAGACTAGCTAAACAAAACGCTACTAGTTCAGATAAATGTTGGAAATGTAAGAATAAGACTGGTTCATTCTATCATATGTGGTGGCTATGTGATGTTACAAAAAGGTTTTGGAGATGGGTACATGAAATAATGCAAAAAATTATAAGAACTAAGGTCCCATTTACTCCAGAGATATTGCTATTGAATATATTTCCGAAAGATTTTGATAAAGCAGATAGGTATTTGATTGTTTATTTGTCAACAGCTGCAAGGATTTTATATGCTAAATATTGGAAAACAATGGGGACTCCAACGAAACAAGAATATGTGAATAAGCTGCTTGAAACGGTTGAGAATGATAAATTGACGTTGGAAATGAGAGCTGGAACGGAATGGACTTTTCAAAAAACTTGGAAGAGATTTTATGACTGGTATAATATAAGCGTAACAACCTGATGGAATTTGAGTACGCAGAAAAGATAAGCTAGCAAAATAGATAATGAGATCTGAAATGTAATAATTAGATAATTGAAGGATAGAAGATGGAATATGCCTCCTGTTATATGTTTTATGTTTGTTAGTGGTAGTTTTATGTTGTTGGTTTCTATATATGTTTGTAGTGTATAATGGAAAACAATAAAAGTGTACCCTTGGGTACTTTTAAAAATCAAATCCATAAGCACAAAACTTTATATCAGATGTCGTGCCAGAGCTTTTGATGGAGGATTATAATAAACCTCCTGATTATCCCTTTTAGTATTGGTGCCTGCCCTAGATTCTTGTTGGTTTGAAACTGGAGTGGTTTCTACATAATGGTTCCTTCTAAGTACTATCACACATTATTAAAAACTGCTTCCAGTTAGGGTAAACTGGATATTACGTTCAGCACTGATGTTGAATTCTGTCTCTGTAATGTTTAAGTATACTTAGATGAGGTCCCCTGGATCCGAAGGACTGTGAGCAGATCTCCACTTGTGGAATGGAACTTACCTTTCTTCCCCCTCCTCATTGAAGCCCTCTGTATTTTCTGAAATGCTGCCCTGTGCATTGGGGACCTTCAGATTGGGCATGATTGGTGTCTTCAGTGAGGGGCTATATTGATGAAGATTGCCCCCAGTAATTTGGAATAAGGGCAGGGAAAACTTGATTACAAAAGAGCTTGGTTTAGTAACCACAAATATAATAAGGAAAAAGAACTGTCAGGATTAGGAGAGAATGGTTGGTGACAGCTCCATGTCAAGCAAAAATCTATGCCTGCTTTTAAGCATTTAATAATTTTAGGCATTTAATAATTGTTTTATGTTAATTTTTTATGGAATATAACATTGTTTGTTGGTTGCTATTTCCATCTATACTTAATAGGTGGCTTTTTATGTTAAAGGCTTTTTTGTTTAACTATAAAAACAAAGTAACAATTTATTTCCTTTTTCTCTCTTAAAATTAGGACATCCAGTTGTGATTTAAAGGGGAGGTGCTTCTCTTTGTGGAGGAAAAGTAACGTGAGAAACCTCCATGGAAGACACTCAGGATTTAAATGAACAGTCAGTAAGTAAGAATTTGGTTGAATAAACATTTCTGTATAACATGTACTTTTAGAGTGATTTTTTACAGCTTATGTTGTGAAATTTGGCATAGAGATCTGTTGCAGTAGGTAGAACATGAACATAAAGAGCCTGGATTCAACAACTTTTTTGGCAGAGATTGATTGATTTTTGCCAGTTTCTGTTTATGTGTAGACCCTAACTTTGCCCCCTGCTATGTTGATGAAGATACTTTGAGTCCTAGGAGGAAAATTGGGGGGGGTATATTTACCAGCTTAACTATCTTCTCTCTCTCTTCTGTTTTGTAATGCACAGTTTTACTACCTAAATTAAGGAATAGCATGTCTGGTATGATTTTTTCCCCATTTAAGGATGTGGGTTTAATTTTGTAACATTGAAAAAACTCTCTTTAATCTCATTGTGGAACCAACTGGTAGGAAAAATCTTAATCCACTTTAGTGCCCTATAAAATTAATAAATAATGCTAATTTCTAAGGATTTATAGCAGGTTATGTCCTATTCATATTAAATGTTGCTAGGATGACCCAGTTTTCTACCTGGTTTAGTTACATGCGACTCCTGCAGCCTTTAGAAATGTGAGCTAGAAAAACTCCTTTATGCACGATTAGTTAAAAGCACCATAGTGACATGTTAAAAATTAAGGATCAAGTTAGAAAAATACGAACCAAGTGCTTTTCATTAATGATTGGTGGACTCTTCACATTCATTGATATTTATCGAACCAATAGGGATTGCAAACCCTTCAGGTTATAGGCTCAAATTTGAAAACGATTTTTGTCAACTGTAGAGTTGGGAGGCTGTAAGTGTTGTTCTACTCACAAATGTAAGAATTGAGTAAGTGGCTATGGGTGACTACCTTACTGAACAACATAATGCTGTGGCACAATTCTGTTTTACTTATACGGTATTATCAGGACCATCATTTCCGAGAGAAATTAATACCTTCTCTGTTCAGTGCTGGTAATACTAGATCTGGAGTATGGTGTTCCATTCTGGGCACTACAGTTCAAGGATATTAAAAACTTGGAAGCGATTAATATGAGAGCTTTGAGGATGATAAAGCACAGATGACCAACTAGTGGATCATACTCAGATCTTGCTGGCAATTACTGTGGTTCCTTTCCTATTCCATCTTTCTGTCATACTTGACTGGCAAGGTGCCATGTCTTATCTGGCATGGAAATGAGAAGCAAGTTCCCATTTCCAACTCACAATGGTACCTGGAAGGTAAAAAGCAGGTGACTTCTGTGCAGCTGCTCCTTATGTGATTTTACTTAGTGATGCTGGCAAAATCCAAATGAGTGGAATATGAAATTTGAAGTTCCACAGTTTGAAATGCAAGTCTTCATATGAAGCAAACCTAGAGCATTTAGATTTGAACCTGTTTTCTTTAGAGCCAGCCAGTGAGCACTCCTAGTGATCCTTCCCATTTCTCTAAACCTTCCTTCCTCTAAACTTATTGGGGGGGGGCACAGTATCAATGTAGCAATGTAGCAAGTGCAAGAGTCCTAGGGAAAGCTGAACATAAGAACATAAGAACATAAAAAACGCCAAGGTTGGATCAGGCCAAAGGCCCATCCAGTCCAACACTCTGTGTCACACAGTGGCCAGAAATACCAGTGCCATCAGGAGGTCCACCAATGGGGCCAGGACATTAGAAGCCCTCCCACTGTTGACCCCCCCCCCAAGCACCAAGAAGACAGAGCATCACTTGCCCCAGAGCCCCTATCTATACCTAGTGGCTAATAGCCACTGATGGACCTCTGCTCCATATGCTTATCTAATTCCCTTTTGAAGCTGTCCATGCTTGTAGCCACCACCACTTCCTGTGCCAGTGAATTCCATGTGTTAATCACTTTTTGCCTTCAAAGGGTTCCCTAGCAGCTGCATTTCCACTAAGTGAAAGTATAATTTGTCATACCCCCACAAGTCCCTTGTAGGGTTCCCAGCTCTGGGTTGGAAAATACCTGGAGACTTTGGGGTGGATCCAGGAGTGGGGGGGGTTGGGGAGGGGAGGGGCCTCAGAAGAGTACAATGCCATACAGTCCACCCTTCAAAGCAGCCACTTTCTCCAGGGGAGCTGATCTCTGTCAGCTGGAGACGAGTTGTAAAAGCAGGAGGTCTCCAGGCCCTGCCTGGAGGCTGGCAACCCTAGTCCCTTGTCAGGCTTTGGTTGCATTTCGAAGCAATGACTTTAGTAAGGAACATACACAAACACACACACACTCATAGAGCAGCCAAAAGACCAAGGAATCCTTCCCAAACACAAACAGTTTGCAAGCCCACACTTTTGTGATCTCCCTGGGGCAATGGTATAAATCGTTTTACTCATGGGAGTTGCTGAATGTAACAATCTGCTTTATTTCAACCAACTTCTTCAGACTAACACAGAAAAATGAAAGTAAGTAAGAAGCAGTCTAGGGGGTGGAGTTTTCCTCCATCCCATAATCAGGTTCTAGTTAACTCTTTACTATCCATTTAACTGTACACATGACTTCTGAAACAAATGCAAAACAAACAGAGGGACTGTGCTCTTTTCCTCTGTCACACACTTCACACACTCACCATGAATAGCCACGTGGCTTGAACCTGCTCGCCCCCCCATCCAGCTTTCATCTTGCTGAGATTTAAAGGCACACACACATTCCCAAACAGTTTTCAAGCTTCTTCTAAAATGTTCTGCTGAGATTTAAAGGCACATCATGGCTGTTGGGGCGGGGCTTTCCCCTGCTGGCCAGCTGGCTGGCAACGTGCAGGAGCTTGCAAAATTGCGGGACTCTCACCCGGACCTGGGGGTTGGCAAGCCTGGGGGGGGTAGTGGTTGGGGATAACGTGATTTAAACTAGTTTTTAAAATTCTGTATGAGTGTTCACAAAAAACTTGTTTTTATGCACTTGCAAGGAAAGCCAGCAAACACAAACTGGGGTCAATAATTTTACTGAGGTATATGTACTACTTGGGTCAAAAGGCGTGTGAGAAAGGCATGCAATGCTGCTTATGTCAATATGGAAACGAGATTGCCTCAAGGACTACTGTATCATTAAAGAGGTGATTTCCCAATTACCTGTGGAAGAGCCTAACGGTGCAGTCCTAAAGATATTTTCCTAGAATAAACCCCACTGAATAGACCTCAATAGGATTCTAAGTAGATCTGTTCAGGATTGTTCCCTCAGCAGTATTTTCAGCCATGTTTCTTTTGGGCCAGTTAATGCCATTCCATTGGGTGTTTAGAGAAGCCAGACCAGTTCAGAGCAACATGTAAGCCATGATAAGAGGTAGTGAAACTGGATAATTAATTAGCATAGAAGCAGCGTTCCTGGATCAGACCAATGGTTCCTCTGTCCAGAATCCTCCTTCACATAGTGGCCAACCTGTTGTCCTGGATGTCAAACAAGCAGGGCATAGAAGCAATGGCCTGTTGTTGTCTCCTAGCTAGGGGTGTGCAAATAAATAAATAAATAATTCAGCCCATTTGGATTCGGCCGAATCAGGTAGAATCAATTTTGGCTGACAGTAAGACTCCCGCATGTCAGTTTCGTCAGTACCAGTGGTGAAGTCAATGGTGAAAACATAGGGTATATTCTGGGGGCTGGAGGGGAGGGGGCTGGAGGGAGAGACTACAAACTTGCAGGGTAGCTTCTGGAGCCTTTCCCCAAGATACCAACCAAGTTTCAAGAGCATTGGACCAGGGGGTACAATTCTACGGGCCCTCAAACAGGTTGCCCCTATCCCGTCCATTGTTCTCTATGGTGGGAAAACAAGTTACTTTTTTCCCGCCATAGAGAACAATGGAGGGAATAGGGGCAACCTGTTTGGGGGTCCATAGAATTGGACCCCCTGGTTTACTATTCTTCAGACTTGGTTGGTATCTTGGGGAGAGGCTCCAGCAGCTACCCTGCAAGTTTGGAGCCTCTCCCTCAAACCCCCTCCCCTCCAGCCCCCAGAACATACCCTATGTTTTCTCCATTGACTTCAGTGGCCCATAGGATATAATATGACCAAATTGCCGCTGAAATTCGGCGGCAAGCCAATTCAGATCAGCCCAAAAGGGGTCCGAATGGGCCATTTTCGGGGATGCATTCGGTTCATCCCAATTCCTAGCCATTGATATTCAGAGAGGTGCTGCCTCTGAACATGGAGTTTTGCTTTGGTCACCATGGTCAGTAGCTGCTGATGGATTTATCTTCCAAGAAACTGTCTAATCCATTTTAAGTAATCTGTGCTGGTGACCATCATTATGGGACACTGAATTCTCATTGAGTAAAGAATTATTTCCTTTAGTCTGTCCTGAATCTATTGCTCATCTAATTTGTTAGGAGTCCCTGAGCTTTGGGAGAGGATGAAAAAGTTCTCTTTCCACTTTCTCTATGCTATGCGCAATTTCATGAATATCTATCATGTCCTTGTCATAGTTGTCTTTTTTTTCTAAACTGTAAACTCTCAGACTTTTTAGCCTGTTCTCTAGGCTTCCTTTTCTTCCCTTTCCTGTCCCAACCCTTTAACCATCTTTTTCTGGTTCTGTAGTTTTCTTTTTGAGATATGGGGACCAAAACTGCATGCAGTATTTCAAATGAGGCTGCACCATAGGGGCATTATAATCTTGGCTTTATGCAACAGGTAGGGAGTATACTAGGTAAACTGGAGTTCTATTTCACTTCTGATTTTGTTACAAAATGTGTCACTTGAAATAGGGCTGGAGAATGTGATTTCCCCCTAATACTTGTGATTTGGAGATATCTGGGATTACGTTTAAGGCAAAGAATTAAAGTACTTAAATTATTGAGTACTGCCGCCTAGCTACAATTTTTATTGTTAGTGTGTGTTAATTAGAAATCTTGCTTACATACAGTTCTCACACCTGGGTAAAAAGTATGGCTAGCATAAGCCACTGGTGGAAGCTGATTTTTCTTGCCTTTCATAGCAGCCTGTTATGAGTGCCAGCATTTGAGGTTGTGTGGTCTGCATGGACAACAAGAAATGCAA